GAGGGGCGTTAATTCGCAAAATAAGGTGATTTTTAACTACTTTACCGTGATTTTTGGGGGACGACTGTTTGGGGTGGGGGGTGCGCAGGTAATTTTTAGAGTGTGCGCCCCCCCCCCTTTCGCGCACCCCGAGATACGCCACTGCATGGGTAAGGTTTCGGCTCAAGGTGGATTTTAATATTAGACCTAGCATAATATCTAATTCATATGGCTATGGCTATGGCATTTTGTTGTACACACATGTACATACTGTAGTACTCTTCACACGACGTCTATCAATATCAATATGGGGAAAATAATTATTGTTATATACGGTACTTGCATGCTTATGCTCAGTGGAAACACTTGCAAATTTGATTAGGCTTACTTAAATATTATCGTTTCAAACTGCAAAATAAAATTCGCCCTTGAAAAGCAAGTCTTGTTTTGATTTATAGTTGTGTTTGCGATCGGTGGATTTCAGTTGTTCATGATGGTCGTCGGAGTGATGGCCAGTCGTCTTCTGTACGCAGAATTAATCCTAGTCGTGGGCTCGGCTCTATTCTTTCGTCTACATTAACTTTTATTTTTGTTAATAACTTACCAGATTTTATGTCCAAATATGAAATGGACCTTTCTAAAATCAAATTTAACAACTGACCAATCAGAACAGGCTCGGTAGTACGCGCTTGTTCCATAAATACACATAAGTTTTCGTTATGGTTTTGTGGGACCTTATATCACTTTTATGTTTGTATGCGCTTGAAAGCCAGTACAGTACCAAGTTTTTGACGACATTTAAGTGCGTTACTAGCTAGCTGGGGTGTCAGAACTGTTTGTTACTTTCACACTTTTCAGGAGGTTGTGAGTGTTATGTTCTGTACGGGTGAGTCTGAATGTCTCCTATGATCAGATCTGGAGCCTTTATGTCGTTCCCACCACGCAGCAATACTTAATATTATCTAATATTTATTCAATGTTAATTATTTATAGTTGTTGGTACAGCTGCCGATGTATTTACTATAATAACTTTATTGGAAATTTGTATTTCGAGTAAAATGTTGTACAAGGTTTGGACACACACGAGACCTTTATAAGTACTGTTACTACATTCCAGTAAATGTATGATATATTAACATCAAAGAACATTTGTAACATAATATGCCCGTAATTTGGTAGGCCTATGACTTATGGTTGTGCTTTACATAATACTGTTGCGGTAGTTCCATTGCTGAACTTTTTTTGTTAATAATGTAATGCAATGTCCAGGTATTCTGTACCGTGCCTTTTCGGGTGGATACAAAGCGCTGATATAATTTGTGACCATTTTTTAAATATTTAATTATTAATAACATCAGTTACACCTGAATATCAATGAATGCTTTTCACACTTATGTACAGTGGCGGCGCCAGCGTCTGAAATCTGGGAGAGGGTGTGGCAAGTGAGGGGAAAGGTACGATTTGGGGTTTGGGGGGCAAGGTCCTCGACGAGATTAAAGTGGGCGTGGCCTGGCGTCGAAAATGCTGCGAAAGTGGTCTGTTGGTGGAGCCCCGGAAAAATATGACAATTTAGGAGTTTCAGAGGCTTATTTTAACGATTTTATATATAGATTAGTCTACTAATATGTAGAAAATACATATAGGCCTATTTTTTTTCACCCCGACGAATTGTATTTTTTTCCCTTCTGTTCTGTGGAAAAACTGGGCGGGGAGGGAGGGCAAGAACTTTTTCTTGGGGAAAAATGCCCTTGTGGCCCCCCCCCCTCGTAGATCCGCCATTGCTTCTGTATTTACAGCAACATATCTCCACAGTGTCATATTTTAATAAAATTTGGAAAGAATAACCAGTCTGGCCTCAAAGCAAAAAGCGTATCAGGTACAACATCAGGATTTACCATCATTAGATTTGGGCCATACTTATGATGTTTGTCCACTACAAACCAAGTAAAATGTAAATGTCATGCAGTGGCGTAACAAAGAGAGCCTTAAGGTCTTGGTTAAGGCCCTACTACCCTGGAAACTGGGTGCGGGTAGGCCTACGTTCCATGGTGTGCGGCGCAAAGCTTTGTTTTAAGGGCGTGTTTTGATGGATTGTTTACGTTCTGCTCCTTAAAAAAAACCCTCTCAGCCGTTGTGGGACAACAAATGATGAATATCCCAGGGCCCTTTAAGGTCTGGGGGCCATGGCTTTAGCCACTGACTGCAGTGGTTACGCTAGCGACTCTATGTCGCAAAGGACTGTAACACAGGCTGTTCTAAACAACGAATAAATACAATTTGCAACAGCACAAAACTAATTTAGTACCGTAATATTTAATTCAAAAGAACCAACTATAAATTGCTACCTACTGCAACACCAGGTACATTAGCCCGGTACTAGTACAGAAACCTTAAACTTAGATCGTTTAGAAACGTTGTACTAAAAGTCTTAGCTGAGCAAAATGTTGCTAGGAAAATGTTTTAAAAGCTATCAATTTGATACACGAAGCAAAGAGTCATTCCAACTCGCTCGCTAATACTTCTGTCACGGGTCATTATCTTTGGTTTGTGCCTTATGGTAACTAATGGTCTAGACAGGTTTTTTTCCCTACTGTTTCATCAACGTTCAACCTCATTAAATAGTGTTTATATTGGGTAAACATCCGTCCTCGTAGAATATTAGAACTTGAATTGGAATGCTAACAACTGTCGTTATTTCACGCCTCCTAATGCACAATACTATACACAAATTCTAACAGTTAATTTGTCTAAGTGTCTCCGGTTTTTCTGCTCGCCTGTTTAAGTCCATCACCGCCGCAATAATCCTCATGTTTAAGCTACGCCTAGTGTAAACTGACATTTCAAACTACGTACCATGCAAAACGCTGCAGTTTATATGGCAAGATATCCACGTGGGGAAAGCGGATAATATTGGCTCAACGTAAACAGTCTATACACATCGAATTTACGAATATCATGATCTTAATTCAATATTTGTTAAGATAAGATAGATTGCGACACGTGTCTATATTAAGTTTGATTACGTCATTCAAAACCAAATGTGCTGTATGATACGAACTTCTTAAAGCGCTTAAATGATTTCACTTTTCTATAGCAAATATTGGCTAAAACCAAATCCACGCAGGATCACACAATACAAGTGTCGACGAAACATCAGAATCAATATAATTGATCGTCTGCAAACCTTCGTCCTTACTTGCTTCAAATTCGTTTAAACGTGCGCGTACAAACAACGTCTCCCTTAACACATTTCACGTACATTTCGTCACCAGATATCTCGCGCGTTACGTAGTGTGGCGGATCCGACTTTTCAACATCATTAAAAACAAGCTTGTCTCCTTCCCAGTGCACGGTGACCATAACTTTGTCCCTAGTCGGAGAAATATCCTCGAATGGTTCTCCAATTCGAAACTTCTGGACATGTGTTGTAATTATAGGAACGTTCATTTTAATGACGAAATCGTCACCATTTTGGTCGATTTCGCAGGTTGGCGACATGAGAGCGGCTGTCTTCCGTAATGCAGCTCCGACGCCCATTGCTTTCATATATTGTTCAAAATTCTCGCTATTGCTGAGTTTGTACTTTCCAGCGAAATTTACAACCATCGTTACGTTCACACAAAATAGTTGTTATAGGAGGAAAAGCACTCTCTACTGTTTATGAGATAGCATGGAACGGTTTCCGTTGCGTAGCAGTTGCCGCCAATGATGATACTAGTGATAGGGCGTTTGGAAGTCGTCATTTATGGTAGGACGGTAATGCCTAATGTTATTATGCACAATTGACATCATCTGATTGTCCGCTACACACACATGCTAATTCAACGTCACGAAATGACGAATCCCTAGAATTGGTCAGATCGAATCCTGTATCGGGGACAATCCACAAATCGTGTCTGCATCCAATAGCTGATTGTGTCCTTTGGGACTTGGTGTGCACTTTAAGTTGATTTGTCGAGGCTGGTGCGTCTATAATTCAGTAGTGATCGCGCAGGTTGCTAAGTGATTCGCACCAAATATTTCTCGAGAGCGCATGCCTGATTACACACCGTATATCCATTCGAAAGGGCTAGACTTACTTTAGTTCAGCTTCGATCGCTAACCACACAAATTGTCTACTAATCTTTGGGCTTAGAATAAATCACCGCCGGAAAATCAGCTACCCAAAAACATACCACGTACTACACTTTTGTTTCTTATTCTTGTTTCACATTCTATTATAATTCAATAACTAGATTAGGAGGAAGCTTAATATTAATGAGATAATGTTTTTGAGATAATAGTATTTAGACCCTAAACTATTTCAGTTCGTGCTGTTGAGACTAAAGCTATTTAATAATACAATGAATATGTCCTTGTGGTTTCGATAATATAAGTTATTTTGAGAAATATTGGATAACTTTGGAGTCGTATTAATGCCGTATTATCAAATAGCTACACCCATTAGATTATAACCGTATTATATCATAAAAGCTTATTTCTAAGAATTTAAGAACCAACGTGAATATTGGATCCGGTTTGGTACGGTACTTACTTACGTTTAGTCGGTGGATTAGGTCAGCTTATCCAACTCAGGATCTGTGTCATAACAATATCACTCAGCTGTAAAATGTATGTCCCAAAATTGAATTGTTAGGTATATAAACTACCATATCAAATTACCTCAAGTTGAAACTTACAAATTACATTTTTAAATATGATTATGGTAATGGGAAAATGATACATGACGTGATATAATTATAATACAACAATAGGTCTATATGATTTAAAAGTGTAACGCCCTGGGGCGTATATTTTTTAGAAGAGTTTTCGAGGGGCGTTTACTGTATTCGAGGGAGACGTTTATTTTATTTATTTATTTATTATTTTTTTGTTTTGGCTTAAAACAAACACACAAAGAAGCAAAAACAGCCAACGCCCTTTACTGTAAATGTTAAACTACAACACATAATTGCCATCAATGTGTTATTGCGTGATTATACAGACGTATTGATCTTAACCAGGTTAGAAAAAATGTAATTCTACTGAAGCAGAACATATAATAGAATGTGTTGAGAATGATGCTTCCATTAGATTTGTTTACAGCCATTTATGCTAGAGTTTATTAAAATAAACAGCCGGGGTGTTTATTCGAGGGAGCGTTTATTCAAAACGGTGCGTTTATTCGAAGATACGGTAGTTTATAATCAAAGGTATTGACAGCAATATGGCGATGTAACGATTGGATGTATAACTAACAGCTGTGAGGAAATTTGTATTTGATAGGGGTTCATTACAATATGCCAATTAGGCCTACCCTTGGATTAAGAAATGAGAATAACAGCAATATCGCGTAGTGGGATATGAACCCGATATCTTCTGCCTATTATGTAGGCTGTATGGAGCAAATAATAACACTATGGAATATTAACACTATAACGATAGAATTTATATAATTGATGAGGTTGAAGAAGTAGTACAAATGATGGGCATTGGGTATGTTTTAACAAGCTAAGAAACAACAACAATGAAGTAATTATAATACGCCTATACGATAGCGATGGGGATTGTAGTTTAAAAATTAAAAGATTTTAAAACTTTAATCATGACAATTTTTTTTAAATACGTTCAAATTTTAAAATAAAATGCAGAAAAGATGAAAGGGACATTAACAAATATACTCAGAAATACCTTGCAAAACATAGTGTCCGGTTAAAAAAAAAAGCGACTAACCGGTTCACGCGTTCGTCTACGCTTAAATACGGTACAGGCGCAAGTTATTGGGGTTTTTTTGGAAGAGGGATAACACAGAATTTTTTTTAATTAGAATGTTTATTTGTACAAAAAATGTATTATTTAGAATGTTCATTTGTACAAAACTGAAATAGGCCTATCTTAAAATTGAAAAAAAAAAAAAAAAAAAAAAAAAGATCAAGACGAAATCACAACCTTAAAATTATCTACAAACACCACACCGCTATCCGGCAGCACCATCCATGCGACTGCCCTATTAGTGGTAATGTTAGTAATGTACAGTCCTTGCTGAACCCCCTGTTTTGTTTTGTATGTGTAAAGGGAACCCTAGCGTCTAACTTAAAAAAAAGGGCGATGAAAATTATTTTTTACTCACTGGTTTATGTGTACAAAATTTCCTGTACGTCCGTTCGAAACTGGCGACGCTGGACGCTTTTAAAAAACAGCAGTTCTAGGCTCTGAATAAATGTGGAGTGAATAGCATTTAAAACTGAATGAATTCGTCAAAATAACTATCAGATACCACTAGAACATGCATAGGCTTACTAAAATTCATTAGGAAATACGGTAGAAGACAGCCATACGACGTAGCTGGGTATAAGCTTAGTGGTCCTTTTGCTAAAACAACGAAAACATTGAAATATAGCGCCGTTTTATAAAAAAAAAACAAAAAACGGCGCTATATTCATAACTTTAGTAACATCCGACACAGGGTATTTAAGTGCAAGAGTATTAAGAGTATTCCAATATGAATATTTATAGTCCTAACATTTTTTTCCTTGACGCATATTTTAAAATTAGTCCATTTTGTTCAACTTCCATACATATTTCATTCCATCAAAATGATGTAATCAAAACCTTATAACATATTTTAATAAATATTCTATACGACGCTGATAAGTTAAAGTGGTAAGTAGACATCGAAATCCCACTCCCATGCATAATTAACATTAATATCTAATGATAACAATTTTGATGTTAGTCTTTCTAACGTGGCTTCCAATATTCAGTTTGACATAGGATTTTTAGATATTGGCTAGATGACAAAGGAAATTCCAAGATGCAGTTTTATGAATCATAAAGATTCACATCGTAAACATAAACGCAGTATGCATTCGTCAACATAACTATTCTGTCTAAACCCGTATACACATTTTACAAGCACTTGTGTACAAATAGCGAAACACTATAGTGGATACATTATTCCTAATAGCATTCTTTTGGGATTTATACAAATTGCGAGGTGACATGAAACATATGAAAGCATTTTAGTGCATGATTTTTATCACCACCAGGAACAATAACAATGATTGATCGTCACAGCTGATCATCCCCACCATTTCCATTAAAATTTATTTTACTCTGGAAAGCCAGGATACATTGCATTTTCTAGAGGAAAAATGCCATGTTTTTAACCTAGGAATAATATTCAAAAATTGTAAAGAACGCAATAAATTGGTTTTCTTTATTATTATTATTATTATTATTATTATTATTATTATTATTATTATTATTATTATTATTATTATTATTATTATTATTATTATTATTTTTGTTGTTGTTGTTGTTGTTGTTATTATTATTATTATTAAAGTTATTATTAGGCCTATTATTATTATTATATTATATAGTAATTAGACAAAGACCCTTCAAGTCTACCCGTACGCTTATAGTGTAGAAAACTAGATTGTGATTATTCACCGGCCGTGCCGTGCCGTCTTGCTCCAAAATAATGACGTCGGTACGATGTTTCTTTAAAAAAATAACAATTACGATGAATATTCTCAGAATTCTACAAAGCACGGAACTATAATTAGTATTTCATTCATATACAAATAGTAAATAGGAAGAAAGTATTATCGTGCATGATGGGACGGTAAAACGTTCCCAACGTCAACACAATGCAAGAGGTGGTACATTGCGTCCCGATTGTGATTGTTGCCTAAAAAAACCATACGTATTGACACCAAGAGCATGGGAATATGGGCACTTAGGGCTTTTAAAGTGCCAAAATTGTGTTTTTTGACGGCCATTTTGAATATTTTATTTATTTGCATTTTCACGATAAATATGTATTTTATTGTATTTTAGTAATGTTTTATTGGATTCCTTGAACTACTTTGTGGGTACTTTGAGCTTTTAAACTGCCAAAATTGTGTTTTTTGGCGGGCATTTGTTTTTTCTCATTTTCTTAGGGAACGGTGGGAGTGACACCGTGGTTCCCGCAATTTTTGGAATGGCATACTCAAAACCCCCCTAGACAAAGTGTCACGCTTCTTTCCAGAAGCTGTCTCTTATACACATCTAGATGTGTATAAGAGAACAGTGTTCAGATAAAGGACATGATAACATCGTGTAGCATTCAAAGATTCAAAATAACTTTATTGCAAATTTAAGAAAAAATTCAAATGTACAAAATAATTCAACGTAATAATATTAAAACTGTTTGATACATTTATAAATACTCTAGTTAACATAGTCAAAATATGAAAACAGGACACATTTACAACATCTATACTGGGGCACAGGCATTAGAACGTAATATTTTAGGAAATCCTACATTTTTGCACCTGTTCCAAAGGCGTTTGCATACATTTTTATATCATTCGATACATCTTACTTGAGTCTATTATACTGTGTATGATGATGGTGATCAGGCATACAGATTTTAAGAAAAATACAAAAAAAGAGTGGTGTCCCTTGTGCATTTTTGCATACATAGGCCCTATTTGTGACATAGTTTTATGTAATTATTAAAACATTGATACAAACCAAAGTTGTCAGTTATTTCATTTGAAACCAGTGTCAGTATAATCTTAGGTAAGCATAAGCATGTGGTTAAGATAAACAAGAAATTAGTCCAATGAAACTGTTTATCATCTTGATACCTTCCGGCGTCACCACGGCGTCCCCACCGATCGATCTAACGTGACGTTGTTATGTGGGTGTTTTATAGATTATTGAGAATGGTAATATCACCAAAAAAGTAGATAAATAGACAGTTGAATGACCAACAAAGACAACTGAAGACAATAATTCGTCATTAGAAGTTATTTAGTATAACTTTATTCGGAAAATTAATCTCAAAAGCGAGTTGCCGTCCCATGCTTTGTCAGTGACGTCGTATGATTTGTGTGCGACTTTTACCAATTAACCCCTAAGTAAAAATAGTTGAGCCATGTAATACCTTGCA